TTTCAAATATGGACGTAGAAATTTTTGTCTCATTTATTGTTTGAGAATAGTAAGGTGATCTTTGAAAAACTCAAAAGATGAGTTTGGACGGAAAGGTTTTGGTGCAAATGGTTATTCATTTTGATCTGCTTGAAAGTATCTCAGACAGTCAAAAACTATGGATGATAATCAGAATTTTATGCTCTCTTTGAAAATGGGATTAGAAATATTATGTCTACTTTAGTTTGAGACTAGTAAAGGAATTTTTCAAATGCCTAAAAAAAATTAGATTCAATGATGAACGAATAGGCTTTTGCTAATTCCTATAGATTCCTGTTCGAAGATGTCAAAAAATGTTTGTCGAGTGCATATTTCTTTAAAAAAAATTTTGACATTGAACTAAGCAGTGGATTTTGCCTAAGTGAAACTACAAGCCCTTTGTCAAAATTTCCTTTTTATAGAAAAATGTCTTTTGGTCAAAAAATCGATTTTCCAAAAATGAGAATTTAAGAGAAACGAATATTGAAGTGACCTGTAGAAAACCTCAAATAGCGCATTTTGTAGAGTAGCTTCTGTTCTACAAGCTGGTATATTAATAAAAGTGTTAATATTTATATTTGAATTACAAAAATGAAAGTAGAAAAGTGTACGAAAAAATTTTCCATTCAAATTATTTTTTTTAGGTCTTTCAAACGATCATCTCATTGTTCTGAAGAAAATTTCTAAGTCTACATTCGGAAAGAGCATAAAATTCTAATCATAATCCATAGCTTTTGACTCGTCGAAAAGACTTTTAAGGTAGTCAAAAATAAACAAATATGTTGTCTCAAAACATTCAGTTCATCCATTGCAGAAAATCGAAAATCACAGTTAGATGATTGATCAGACATTCATAGTTTAAATTATTGCTCCAAGAAAAAAAATTTATTTGAAAAACAAACAAAACAGTTTGATAGAGCGAAAAATTCTCTATCGAATGTCTTTATAAAAGTGTATCGGAATGATTCAAAAAAGAGAATGATATTATCCAATTTAATCTGTGCTACTTGTTAGTAGTAGATATATTGTTCATACATTGTAATACACGTTAATATACAGGACGTCCCAAATGTCATGAACACTTAATAAATATAAATAACTTCGCGATTGATCAAGCTTAATAAAAATTCTTTTTTTCTATTTGACATAGGAGACTATGTAGTAAGTTTTTATTCGTAAAGATTAAATTTATCAACAATATAGAGAATCTAACAGTCCCAGCTATAATTTAAAAATTAGACTTTTTTCGATGCTACTAATAATGTGAACTGTTATTTTTTTTTTAATATTTACTTGAATTTCTATTGTTATTATGGATTTCAGATCATGCAGTTCTTTAATTACTGCTTTTTAATCATTTATTTGATATATTTTAAAACGATCGTCGAATCTTTAATGCATTTCTTCGCCACAAGTCATTTCTGACTGTTCTAAAACTTTAATAACCTTGAAAACGAATGTCTTAGACTATTTATAAGTCATATTGACATTACAATTGACTCTCTTGCTTTCTTTTCGTAAGAATATATCAAAGAAAAATGTTTAGAATGTGATAGTAAAAGGTTTAAATGATCTGAAGTCCATAATAACTATAGAAATTCGAGTAGATCTCAAAAAGAAAATGGCACATATTGTTGGTAGTATCGAACTTGATCTTTACGAATTAAAACTTATTAATATCCTATTTCAAATAGAAAAAAATATTTTAATTAAGCTTGATCATTAACGTGGCGATTTATATTTATTAGGTGGTTGTGACTTTTGGGGCATGGTATTTATAATTTACAACCATTCTAAAATTATCCTAAACGATCATTTCATATAATCACTAGAAATTATCAATCAAGTTCGTTTAACGTTAATAAATTACAAAAATAAAATAAAAATATTCTTGTCATAATTACTTGACGATGATTATCTAAAAGCAAACAATCATTCAGTCAAGGTCATGCCTAAACTCATTTCTATCTCAAAATCATGATAAAGAAAAGGTTGAATAATTGAACTAGTTTTGTTTAGAAAAGATTTTTATTGACAAATATAAATCCTTATATCCAACTTAGAGTTGATACAGGTGAATAGAAATTCTATATTTAGATGATGAGATTCTAATGATGAATCATATACCACCTTAATTTTGACAAGCTACATATACCCGTCATCTATTTTGATAGGCAGAAAAACAACGTCCATTAGAGGAAGTTTATCTGATCGAGTGTCAATTATAACCTATTAAATGTAAAATAAATGTTCTCTTTTTTATCATACGAACAAATATCTGTTTTCTAAATTACCTAATATGTGGTTATAAAAAAATAACGTCATAATAAAAACTCATTTTTGATATTTTATTGATTAATTTAGATTAATTTCAAAAACATAAATCGAAAGAAAAATAAATCAATGATTATGTCAAAGAAATACATCGTTAAAAATCCAAAACAGATTATTTTCATTCATTGAAATTCGATTGCTATATTATCTTTTTTTTTGTTTTCGATAGTTCTTTGAATGCAAAAGCAATGACTTTTGTATTTGCTCCAACGAAACACGATGAAGTAATAGGTAGTTAATAATTAAAATCCCTTTATAATTTAACCACTCTTCTTTGTTAAGAAAAATATTCTTTTCTGTTAGAACAGATGATTAAAAGTGTCATTGATATAATTTAATTGTTCATATAAAAGTTTAAAAAAATTCATATCATCAATACAATGTTTCTATCCTGTATTAATTCATTTGTAAAGCAAACTATTTCGTACATGAAAGTTCAGCAAAAAAGTGCAGTTCTACTGTCGTAATTATTGATACTTTAATTATATGGTAGGTTACATCTAAATATTTCTATTAATAATTTTTTGTTATTATGGATATGTATATGTTCTATCAATCATTTATTTTACACATAAGTTCTTCATCTTTTTCATATAGTTTTCTATTAAGATAAATATATTCATTTTTTTTTGTTTTTATTTAATTTTATCAATAGCATTTTCTTTTAACAGGTCGCCTTTATTCTTAAAACATCTTGTATACGTATCAAAAGATATATTATCTTGTAGTTTTTAAACGGTAATAATGCTCTCTCTTATTACAAACGATTTTCCTCAATGATGACATTGGAATTGATTTATTTATTTTTATATTATATTATATTATGTTAAACATAGGATAAGTTTATCAACATGCAAGTTAATGAGATCTTATTGTTCTTAGTTGTATTGTTATTTTCGTAGAAATATTTTGTATATTTTTTTCTTCTGCTTTGATTTTGTGAATCATTTACATTCGTTAATTGTTATGTTTTATGAGTGATGATCTTTTTTATTATTATTGATTTTACCAATAATAATTATTTAACATAAAAAATTAAGCCGACAAAAATCAAGACAGAAAGACAAAAATAATTAATTGATACTGATGAAGTATCATATTGATTGATCTGTTGGACAAGCGAGTAGTCAACAAATCTTTGTAGAACTATTGTCAGAGTTTCACTTGTTATATTACTAGCAAATATACTGACGATGGAATCGTTCGAAGTGATTCAATGCTTTTGAGCTCATCCTTTAAGCATATAGATAGGATCTCTTGACTAGAACAACTCTAAAAGGATTTGGGCCCATATTAAAACTTGATCAAGATTGCGAGTTTTTAGTGAATGTTCCTTATACGGAAGCTCTAGTTGTTCAATGAAATCTGGTTTTCGAATTTCGACTTGGAACATTGCCTTTATGAAGACTTCAACTAGATTAGTTTATAGAAAAATTTTTCAATTATTAGACATAGCCTTTTTCTGAGATATTAATTTTCTGCAAATATTCATTTTTTTTTCTACAATAGGTATAAACAAGTTCCTATATTTGAAAAAATTAATATTTCGAAAAGGCTATGGTTAACAATTGAGAAATTTCTCTACAAGCTAGCCTACTTGAGGCGAGGGGGAAGAGCACGACTTCGCTATTCTGAAGTACAAGTGAAGCACGGTATTTCATTCATACTTTGTCGTGCTTCGGAATACCGAAGTCTCGCTTTTTTTCTCTTAAGTTGAGATTTTCAGATGCACAACGTTCCAGATCAAAATTCAAAAATCAAATTTTGCCGAACAATTGAAAGCTTCGTACAGGGACTATTCACTAAAAGTTCAAAATCAAGATCACGTCTCAATATGTGTCTAAATTCTTGTTAGAGTTCTAGTCGAGAGATCCTCTCCATATGCTCAAAATGTGGACTGAAAAGTAATGAATCACTTCGAACGGTTCTCTCTTGAGTTCAAGATACCTTTATACAAGATCTTTTGTCAGCAGGTTACGTTTTCGAGTACCCTATTATCAATATGTCACGGGATCTTGATTGGATATCTTATTTAGAATAATTTCAGTGCATAGGTACTACTAGATAGCTGCCTAGTTTCTTTAGTATGCTTTGAAAAATTTTTCAACAAATTAATAGATTGATCATTTAGAAGCAATTTGTAGTCAAGTGTAAAACATCTATAAAGTACCCAACGGTTACTATGACATACTAATAACAAACAAACCTCGAGGATATGTTAAACTGAGTACATTCATTCAGGTTACATTTGTATGATACGTCATCAGAAATGTTTGGTTCACACATATATGAATCTCTTATGTGACGAGAACAACAAAGAGTATTTTATCAGTAGGTAATATTTGAAAGATTAATTTATTAGTAGAGGAAATTATTGTCTTTATGAAGAAGTTTGGTGATAGTTGTTTACCAACTTTTTCTAATATTAATTCTAAAGAATGATAAAAAATCTCAATAGTATGCAAAGATGATCGATAAGATGCAAATTTGTTCATAATATATATATATATATATATATATATTTGTTTGTTACACTATAATAAATCAATATCTAAGAAAGAATTTCAAGGAAATATGACACTTATTTATTTGAGATTAAAAAAAAAAGTAAAAAGACAAAAAAAAAAGGAATTGTTTATTTGAAAAGATTAATAGAAAGGTGGACGACGTGGTGGTTGATTAGGAGGTTGACCACCCATCATCTGGTTCTCGTCGTCGACTATGATAAAACCTATAGATAAAAATTCAAAGTGGAGATTAATATTTAACAAAAAACCAATTTATTGACCTTCAACATATCCAGGAGCACCAACTCGACCTTGAGAAGGAGGTGGTACATTCGATGAATAATTATATATTTCATCTTGAACACCTCCTTGTGTTAAATCACTCATCATTGTCATTAGTAATTCGGGAGGAACGAACGCAGCATTACCGGGGACTCCGCCAAAGTTAGTTTGCTAGTAGAATCAACAAAATAAATATTGAATTTTATTTCTTTCTTACCCTAACTATATTTGTTGGTTGTTGTTGAAAAATTTGTGGTGGTGGACCTCCATGTGATGAAACAAACACGGGTGCACTACCGGCAAACATAAATGGATATGACATAAAATCATTACCACCATCTCCAGTATTTAGACCACTTAGTACTCGTTGTATTTCAACTTCAACCATTTGTTCAGCATACGGTCTCAATTCTTGTAGAACAGTTTCCAGAATTTGTTTTTCATCTTCTCGAGTTACTAGTGGTTTCTCTTGCGCTTCATCTTGTTGTGGAGCAGACACGTTAATTGATTTAGTTTCGTCTAATTTATTGTGATCTTTTGTTTTCTCATTTTCTTCTTGACCTGTTGAAGATGATGTTGATGGTTGTGATAATTCAACTGATTGATTTGCTTGAAGTTGAGCTTGCTTGTGTTGCTCATCTTGTTCAGCTTGTTTCTGTTGTTCTTCTTGTTGAGCTTCATTCAATGGTGGATACACTTGACGAATACTGGGCGACGGTTCTTTCTCTTGCTGTTGTATTTGATGCAATGGTATTGTTGGACCTACTTGTTCTTCACCACGAGATAGACGTTCTTCTAATGTGAGCTTTGATTTAGTCTCATCCGTTGATAAGTTTTCATCAGCATGAGATTTGCTTGACACTACATCAATTCCATCCTGCTGATTCAATGGAGATGTGGTAGGTAAGGCAATTGTCGGATCTATTTAAAAGAAAGATGATTTTTTTTTAGAGAATATGTTCATTTCAAACTTTGTAATTGTTGAAGTAAGTCTTTATCTTGTTGGACATAAAGAGGTAAAGGTCGTTCCGGATGAGTTAGAACTAAACGATGTACTGGTCCGTCGTCTATTTCAACGATATCGCCGTCGTCTAAATGATAATACTGTAAGATATTGCGGATATCATTATCCATTTGTTGAACTAAAGCCTTTTGTTGTTGTGGAGTTAGTTTCACAGGCTGTTCCAGATCAATTGATGGACCAACTGGTTGTTGTTGTCCACCTAATTGTTGCGTTCCAGTGGGTTGTTGTGGGCCGATTATTTGTTCTAGCCCACCTGACTGTGGTGATCCGCTTGGATGTTGTAGTTCACCTGGTTGCTGTGGTCGAATAAATTGTTGTGACCCATCTGGTTGTTGTAGTCCACCTGGCTGTTGTAATCCGCCTGGTTGTTGTAGTCCTCCCAGCTGTTGTGGTCCGCCTAGTTGTTGTAGTCCACCTGGTTGTTGTAGTCCGCCTGGTTGTTGTAGTCCACTTGGCTGTTGTAGCCCGCCTGGTTGTTGTGGCCGAATAAATTGTTGTAGCGCACCTGGTTGTTGTGGCCCACCTAGTTGTTGTAGTCCACCTGGCTGTTGTAGGCCGCCTGGTTGTTGTGGCCGAATAAATTGTTGTGGCCCACCTGGTTG